CATGTCTACAATGTACACTGGGAGACTTCAATGCCCTCCCATTCTGCACAGGCGATGTCGTATCTGCAGGGGAGGCATTCATGTCCACAATGTACATTGGGAGACTTCAATGCCCTCCCATCCTGCACAGGCGATGTCGTAACTGCAGGGGAGGCATTCATGTCTACAATGTACACTGGGAGACTTCAATGCCCTCCCATTCTGCACAGGCGATGTCGTATCTGCAGAGGAGGCATTCATGTCCACAGTGTGCACTGGGAGACATCAATGCCCTCCCATCCTGCACAGGCGATGTCGTACCTGGAGGGGAGGCATTCATGTCCACATTGTACACTGGGAGACATCAATGCCCTCCCATCCTGCACAGGCGATGTCGTATCAGAACGAATCTCAAATATGGTTTTTTGTATATTAGTAGAATTTGTTTTTACCCACAGTGATTAATATCGACTTGTTTCACGTCATCATATAATTTTGATATTGGCGCGAAACGCAACCGGTCATTATCTACAAAGCTTAGCCTGGATAAAAAAAGGTTTTTTTCTTGAATTCCATGTTTTCAACAATGTTAATAATTATTTCTTTCAGGGTGACTCTGGTGGGCCTTTGTTACATCAACTAGAAAATGGAAGATGGGTCAACATTGGCATTGTTTCTTGGGGAATCCGATGCGGGGAACCTGGACATCCTGGTGTCTATACTCGCGTCAACTCTTATCTCGATTGGATTTTCGCAAACGCCATGTTTTGAACATGTAGTGATTAGAAAATGTTGATATTTAAGTGTCGAATGTCCGCAGCTTTTCCCTTTTTCGAAAACTAATTTATCATTTCAATAACTATATTTGATGTTTCATCGAAAATAGTTGAAATATAAAAAGAGTTTCTTTGGACGGAGGATTTTGTAATGTTGTCGAGGTTCACGTTCATGATGACGATGTTGACAATGATAACGATGATGGTGATAATAATTGTTATGGTCTTACAAAATATTTTTCCGCTTGTGGTCTTTAAATTCAGGATTTTATGATGATGATGATGTCGATGTTGACGTTTATGATGAAGATGTTAACAGTAATAACGATGACAATGATGTTGATAATGATTGTAATGATATAACAAAATATTTCTCCTCTCGTAGTCTTTAAATTGAGGATTTCATGATGATGGTGATGATGATAATAATGTCGATGTTGACAATTACAACGATGGTGATGATGACGATGACAATGATGTTGATAATAATTGTAATGTTTTTGCTAAATATTTTTCCGCTTGTGGTCTTTAAATTGAGGATTTCATGATGATGATGTCTATGTTGACGTTCATGACGAAGATGTTGACAGTGACAACGATGATGGTGATGACGATGACGATGACGATGATGTTGATAATGATTGTAATGATTTAACAAAATGTTTTTCCGCTTGTGGTCTCTAAATTGAAGATTTCAGGACAACGATGATGATGTTGATGTTGATGTTCATGTCGAAGATGTTAACAATAATAACGATGATGGTGATGACGATGACGATGATGTTGATAATGATTGTAATGATTTAACAAAATGTTTTTCCGCTTGTGGTCTCTAAATTGAAGATTTCAGGATAACGATGATGATGTTGATGTTGATGTTCATGTCGAAGATGTTACCAATAATAACGATGATGGTGATGACGATAACAATGACGTTGATAATAATTGTAATGGTTTAACAAAATGTTTTTCCGCTTGTGGTCTCTAAATTGAGGATTTCATGACAATGGTGATGTTGATGTTCACGCTGACAATGTTAATGATGATGACGATGACAATGACGATGATGTTGATGATGATATATATATATAGGTACAGCAATAGTCAAAAGCCAAAAGACGATCTTGAAAACGATTGAACTTTATTATTCGCAATATTGATTGGTACATCATTAAAAGAGCTTCTCAACCTTTACTCTTAGAGCGTGACGTCACTCACATATCCATTTTTAATATTTCCACACACACACACGCTCCCACTCACGCATATTCTTTTTACGCACACATTCGTCGCATTTTGAAAACGCGTGAGAGGCCCAGCCTCGACGACTATTGGACTATACATCGATCTATGATAAACATAACATTGTCTATTTGTATACATATACATATGTGCGTGTGTATATATATTTATGTATATAATTATATATAATTATATATATCTGTATTATTTTTTTTTATTCGGCTATGTGGCTAGCTTTACATAAATGCATACCTCGAAGGTACGCGCATCAAAGTAGTGATGAGTAAAATCAGGTTTCATCATGAAATCTTGATTTTCATATTGCAGAATGTGCAAGACCAAGGCCAAGATTACCATATTAAAGCCGTATGAAACTGGCGTCAAAGAGGTTTCATTTATGAAACATTCCATTGCCGTATGAAGGTTACGCGAAAGTAGCGTCAAAGAGGTTTCATTTATGAAACTTTCCATTACCGTATTAAGGCGATGTGAAAGTAGCGTCAAAGAGGTTTCATTTATGAAACTTTCAATTACCGTACGAAGGTTATGCGAAAATAGCGACAAAGAGGTTTCATTTATGAAACTTTCCATTACCGTATTCAGGCGACGTGAAAGTAGGGTCAAACAGGTTCCATTTATGAAACTTTCCATTACTATATTCAGACGACGTGAAAGTAGGTTCGAAGAGGTTTCATTTATGAAACATTCTATTACCGTATGAATGTTATGCGAAAGTAGCGTCAAAGAGGTTTCATTTATGAAATCTTTCGTTGAACTGGGTGTACCGAATCGATTTAAACTTTACCATATAAATGTGGAGGCTGTAAGGAAGGTCCTGACGCCCATGAAATCTCAATTTTTGAAAAATTTGTTTATACACACTTTCATAATTTTTAATAAAAAATGAAATTTCAGGGATGTTAAGACCTTCCTTATAGTCTCCTCGTCCATTATCGTCGAAGGGAGTAGTCGTTCGGTTTACTCGTCGCGAATCCCAAAAAAGTGATTTTTAATCGATTGAAGTGTTTTGAAATAGCGACAAAAAAATTTGTATGAACATCTTAACGTTAAGTTGATGAAATTATTGAGTTTAACTTTACATTCCTTAAATATTCTCTAAACACTCTACTGTCCCTCTACCATCGTGGGTCCGGAATGGCGTCTCCATTACGGCATAAAAAATCACGAATAAATGAAATTTATGAAACTTATGAAAATTGTGAAGTTTATAAAATTATTGAGTTTAACTTCAATTTATTTATGATTATTCTACTGCCCCTTCACCACTGCGGTCCCGAAACGGCGTTCCTATCACTGCATGAAAAATCATAAAACCATGAAATTTATGAAATTATTGAGTTTTGCTTCAATTTCTTTAAAAATATTCTACTGCCCCTTTTCCGTCGCGATCTCGGAACATAAAAGCTAAAGTTTCAGATAATTCGGTGCACCCAGTTTGGAGAAAAGTTTCATAAATAATTTCATATCTTCTTATGTATATATCACACTTTCATATCACCTTAATAGTCTTGGTCTTGCATTTACTCATCACCACACCATAGTCGTGAAAATCCCCCATGGGCGACGCCAACTTACGCTCCTAGTGTTTTTCTTTTTTTTTTTTATTTCCCAATATTAATGGCAAATATACTCCAAAAAGTTTGCATCGTTCGAACGTACATTTATTTATCTATATTGATAAATCGATGTGTCGCTTAATGTGGCTTCATGATGATAACGAATTGATGATAAGGAAAACTATTTTGCTGTCGTGGGTGGAATTTTTGCTTAGGTTGTTTCAGGGAAGGTTTTGTATATTTTGTTTATTAAGGCCTTTACAGATATCGCGTAAAACAACAATCATATAATTAACAGCAGGAAATGGATAGTTAGAATATGAAAGATGGCGTTCTATGTTCGGAGATTTCATTAAGATGAACATAATGAAATTGCAGGGCAGCAATTGTTTCAGGGAAGGTTTTGTATATTTTGTTTATTAAGGCCTTTACAGATATCGCGTAAAACAACAATCATATAATTAATAGCAGGAAGTGGATAATTAGAATGTAAAAGATGGCGTTCTATGTTCGGTGATTACATTAAGATGAACATAATGAAATTGCAGGAATTTCAGCGCGATATTACATGTTCGGATGTTTCATGAAATACTGCCCTATGAAATTGCAAAAATGCAACATGGCATTTCATGTTTGCAAATTTCATGAAGTACTAGCGAATGAAATTACAGGGAATTGAACACGACATTAAATGTTTGCAAATTTTATTAAGCACTGGCCAACGAAATTGGAGAAAATTTAATATGGTACTTTTTGTTCGCAAATTTCATTAAATACTACTCAATGAAATTGCAGAAAATGTAATATGGCATTTTTGTTCACTAATTTCATGAAGAACTGGACAATAAAATTGCAAGAAATTGAGTTCGACATGAAATGTTCGAAGGTTTCATTAAGTACTGGCCAATGAAATTAAAGAAAGTATAAAATGGCATTTTTTTGCTCGCAAATTTCATTAAGTACTGTCCAATGAAATTAAAGGAAGTATAAAATGGCATTTTTTTGCTCGCAAATTTCATTAAGTACTGTCCAATGAAATTAAAGGAAGTATAAAATGGCATTTTTTTGCTCGCAAATTTCATTAAGTAGTGTCCAATGAAATTAAAGGAAGTATAAAAAGCATTTTTTTGCTCGCAAATTTCATTAAGTACTGGACAATAAAATTGCAAGAAAGTGAGTACAACATTAAATGTCCGAAGATTTTATTAAGTACAGGCCGATGAAATTGCAAAAATGCAACATGGCATTTCATGTTTGCAAATTTCATGAAGTACTAGCGAATGAAATTACAGGGAATTGAATGCGACATTCCATGTTCAGAAATGTTATTAATTATTGGCAGGAAATGCAATGTGGCTAAGACCTAACTTCCGTTGAAGTGTTCATCGCGATATCTGAAAAGGCCTTAACGTCTCGAATGAATTTTTATCTCTTATCAACCCGCAAAGGCTCTTAGAGTCTTTTCTTTATGAAAAAGTGAAGAGCTCCTGATTACAATAAATATTCATAAGAATAGTTTAACAGTCCCGATGTTCATTTTTGTAGCCAAATTAAGGGAAGTGTCACTTAATGTCAGTGTCATGTCAAGAGGCGTCACATTAATACGTCGCGACGATGACGGATCATCAATCATCAATCATCGATTATCAATTATCGATTATCGATTATCGAATCGTTACTTACAAGTCTAATGACGTCAGGCGTAACCGCGAAGTATGGATATGAAACTTCGTCCTGAACTTCGCCTTAATCGAAGTTTACAGTCATACCTTACTTGATAACGATTAAAACGCCCTTAAGTACTGCAGTCAGATTTAAGTATGAACTCGATGTTCATTTCTTCCTAATCTTTCGGCTTGGAATCTTTCATCTTTTCGACATATGAACGAAATTCATTAATGCGTGCAGGCAACATTGGACCAAACGTCGGACGCCTTTAGAGGCGAAAGGATTAAGGGGATGTTAAAGTGGCGTCAAAGAGTTCATGAAACGTTCATGAAACTTTTCATCAAACTGGGTATACCGAATTGTTCCAAGGTTTGAAATATAAATGTGGAGGGTACAAGGCAGGTCCTGACACTTATGAAATTTCATTTTTTAAAATGTGTTCATAGATATTTTTATTTGGGTATACTGAATCGTTTCCAGCTTTGAAATATAAATATGGAGGGTACAAGGAAGGTCCTGACACTTATGAAATTTCATTTTTAAAAAATGTTCATAGATATTTTTGAAATTGCAGAACGCCTTTAGCAGACAAAGGGTTAAGGGGATGTTAAAGTGGCGTCAAAGAGTTCATGAAACGTTCATGAAACTTTTCTCCGAACTGGGTATACTGAATTGTTTCAGGCTTTGAAATAAAAATATGGAGGGTACAAGGAAGGTCCTCACACTTATGAAATTTCATTTTTTTAAATTTGTTCATAGATATTTTTATTTGGGTATACTGAATCGTTTCAAACTTTGCAATATAAATATGGAGAATACAGGAAAGATCCTGACACCCATGAAATTTCATTTTTTTTTATTTTTTATAAGAAAATGAAATTTAATGGGTGTCGGTATCTTCCTTATAGCCTCCATATTCACGTTGTAAAGATGTAAAGGATTCAAAACATCCAGTTCATAGAAAAATTTCATAAATTGACTCCTCAGTTTCCACTTTCACATCCCCTTAAGGTCTCGTATATGAAACATTTCTCCGAATTGGATGTACCAAATCGTTTTAAACTTGACAACGTGAATATGGAGTCTACAAAGAAGGTCCCGACACCCATTAAACTCCATTTTTTAATAACAAATTATGAAAATATTTGTGAAGAAATTTAAAAAAAATTCAGGACCTTCCTTATACCCTCCATATTNTATAAAAGAGTTAGAACATTATTTTAAATGTAAGTATACAGCATTACATGTAAAATGATAAACTTCGGGATGTCCTTATCACTGACAGACATGTCCTTACAGCGGCGCACTGTATAAAAGAGTTAGAACATTATTTTAAATGTAAGTATACAGCATTACATGTAAAATGATAAACTTCGGGATCTCCTTATCACTGACAGACATGTCCTTACAGCGGCGCACTGTATAAAAGCGTTAGTACATTATTTTAAATATAATTAAATGGCATTACATGTAAAATGATAAACTTCGGCATGTCCTTATCACTGACAGACATGTCCTTACAGTGGCACACTGTATAAAAGCGTTAGTAAATTGTTTTTAATATAATTAAATCGCATTACGTGTAAAATGATAAACTTCAGGTGTGTCCTTATTACTGACAGACATGTACTTACAACAGCGCACTGTATAAAGACTGTCGAACATGTTTCAGCAACAAAACCCTGGATATTAAAGTCAGACTGGGAGAATACGACTTCACGAAAGCAGACGAGACGAGAGCTTTGGACTTCAACGTAGTTGATATTCGGATCCATGAAGACTTCAACAGGAACACCTATGAACATGATATCGCCATTTTGAAGCTCCACAGACCAACAACTTTTAACACATACATTTGGCCTATTTGCCTTCCACCTGTTGGCCTCACTTTCGAAAACAAAAGTGCCATTGTCACCGGTTAGTTGGAAGTTTCAATATACAATTACGCTAAGAATTTGTGAAGGTCTTTAAGGTGGTTTGAAAGTGGCATCCGAGAAGTTCCAATTATAGCACTTTTATTCTAATTGAGGGTGCCAAATCGCTTCAAACTTTACAACGTGAATATTAAGGCCGTAGGAAAGGTCCCGACACCCATGAAAGTTGATTTTCGCAATTTTAAGGGTGTTTATAAGCAAATTATTATAAATTTGAAATTTCGTGGGTGTCAGGACCTTCCTTATGGCTTACATATTTATATTGTAAAGTTTAAATAGATTCAATACCGAAAATTTGGAGATAAGTTTCATGAACGAGAACTCTTCGACGTCATTTTAATATACCCTTAAGTATCATACACTTTCCGGTGCAATTCTGATCCAAAAGGATATAACTATTCCAGGCTGGGGCACGCAGTATTACGGGGGACCAGGTAGCACCATCCTGATGGAAGTGGCAGTCCCAATTTGGCCGCAGACCAGGTGCGCCCGAAGTTTCGTCCAGGATATTCCGCACACCTCCTTGTGCGCCGGAGCTTTCGAGGGCGGCCGAGATGCCTGTCAGGTGAGTGATTAAACAGTGATTAACGCAAGATGGAAACGAGGACCACATACGTGAGAAAGTTCTCCAAGCCCATAACAGGTGCTCCTGTATGGAGATGAATCGATTGCCTGCCCCCAGGCACCTTGGAACGTGGAAAATCCATAAATTAAACTTACACTGGGAGACATCAATGCCCTCCCATTCTGCACAGGCGATGTCGTATCTGCAGGGGAGGCATTCATGTC